CCCCTCCCCGCCCTGTTTGTGCTTTTTTTTCTTTTTTTTTTTTTTTTTTTTTTTGGCAACAAAATAACCTTATATTAAATTGTTTTTTATTTGTTTAAATTGGCTATATGGCATGTGCGCTCACCAAAGAGAGGAAGAGAAAGTGAGAAAGCTTCTCTCAGGGAGGATGGCAAGTCCACAATTCCTTATCCTTCATTCTCCCTTTGGGATTTTGGGCATGCACCTTGCATGTTTTCCAAACTGCTGGTTCCAGGACTCAAACTGCACAGTTGGCCATGTGGGATCCAGCAGCCTTAACCACCACATCACTGGCTGGCTCTTATTTCTGTACATGACAATCAGAGTAGAAGGGAGAGACTACAAGAGCGAGACAGAGAGACAGACGCTCACCACAGGGTCTGCTCTCACTGGGATGCCCTTCCCCAGCCCTCCAGCTAGTCAGGTGGTGAACACACGTGCGTCTAGTGTGTTTCAGGGTGCCTTGGGATCCGAACCCGCCATCAGCTAGAGCTGATGGCTTCCAGCACTGCAGTTCTGTGTGCTCTTCTGCCTGCACCATCACAAGTGGGCCAACTTGCACTTCAGTTCCCTTTTCCACAAACTTCTTGAAGTACCCGTGTACACAGATTCTCTTATTTAATCCTTTCCGTGCTTTGAGCTAGGCATTATTTATCCACTTTATCCGTGAGGAAACCGGCATGAAGTAATTAAGTGACTTCCCCAAGATCACCGAGCTAGGGAGGGCGTAGAACTTGGATTCAAACCCAAGGAAGACCAACTCCCAGGGCCAGCAGGTGGCGCAGTGTTACGTCGCAGGATTTCTATATGGCCGACCAGAGTTCAAATCACAGACCCGGTGGTTTGAGACGCATGTCGGGCGCATGTGCATGCGTGCCCCTGGGAGGAGAATGGAGGAGAAAGGATTGTGGCATGCCCATTGCCCCTTGGGTGTAATTTCTCGCTCTTTGTCTGGTGAATGCAGAGATAGCCTATAACAAAAAATCTCTCCAAAAAAGAAAAAAGAGACCTTCTCCCAAGCCACCTTCCAGCATAGGAAGGCAGAGACGGCCCCCGAGTCAGGGATGAAAAGTAACCTGCACAAGGCGGCAGCTCTGACTCACGGGGTCCGTGCCCTTTCTCAGCACTTGATTTGTGACCCTCAGCGAGCCGATGCCAGGTGCTTTTGGGTGTGAGCAGTGAGAGCTGTGATCTGATGCGGGTGGAATGGACTGGGCCAGGTGGTGCAGGGAGACCTGGAGGAGGCTGCTGTCCGGGTGGGAGACGGCAGGGACATGAGTAGGTGGAGGGAGAGACGGCCACTCCTGTCCTGCCCATGGCCTGCTTTTCTAACCCAGTGCACAAGGAAGAGCTGGGAGTTTCTCGAATAGTGGGCATCAGTCAAGTGGTCAGAGCTAAAATGTGACCGCAGGCCCGTCTCTGGTGTGGAAGAACGGAGATGCTGGTCCACGAGCTCAGCCCCAGCAGAGGGTGCTGCGGGACAGTGCCCATAGGATACCTAGCCCCTGGTTCTGGTGGTGCATTAATTGCTACCCACAATCCCAGGGCCACCGCAGTGTCCTTAGGATACCTAGCCCCTGGTTCTGGTGGTACATTAATTGCTACCCACAATCCCAGGGCCACCCAGACGGCAGGGCAAAGCACCTGACTTCATTGCTTTTCATGAACTCTTTCAAGACTGCCTTGCCTAGGATAAGGGAAATTGGTTTATTAATTACTGAGGCCAGGACTGGGAACTCCCAGCCATGAGATGAGATCATTTCATTCCTTCGCCACAGATCTCTTGCCCAGGGCAGGTCCTGTTTGCCAAGGGGGGGAGTGGGGGGACCGGTTGTGACTCTCGCTGTGTCTGTTGACTTAGGGGAGTGTGTATCTGTAGTTAACCCTGATCCTCAGTCAGTCTCTAAGCTTAAGTCCCAGGTGCATTTGGATGCTTGTAAGAAGCCCTCGGAGGAAGGGATTTTTCCCTGTGGTGTTTCAGCGCTCCTGCTTTGCTGGCCCAGGGCAGGGCGTAACCCGGTGGCCAGCAGCATGTGGTGGCTAGAAACATGAGTTGGTGTTGGTGAGGCCGCAGAGCAACAGGGGCCCTCCTCAGAGCTTGGCAGGGTGCAAATCGGTACAACCACTTGGAAAACTGTCTGGCAGCTCAGTAAAAGTGAAGATGAACATGCTTGGTGACTTAGCAGTTTCTCTCTTAGGTATAAACCCAAAAGAAAATGTGTTCTTGTGCACCAAAGAGGGGCTTCTGAGAGTGTTTGTAACCACACTATTCACAGTTGTCAGACACTGGAGCGACTCTGTGGCTCATTGACAGAAAAGGATTGAATCCGTCAGGGTAAAAACATCAGCCTCTTAGAACGTGGTAGAATCTTGTGAACGTAACATTAAGAGAAAGAAGCCAGATTAGCAAAAGAATACAAATTGTGGGAAGCCCAAAGGAAGTCAGGCCTGGCAGAGAGTCCTTTTCAGCTACTCTCAGCCATAGTGACTTTGGAAAAGGCCCATAACCTCTTAGAGCTTCAGTTTCCTCATCTGTAAAATAGGTTTTATCCTCCCCCAAGCGGACCTGTAATTACAAAGTTACTACCGTACCTGGAACACAGTGCAAGTTCTCTGCAGTGAATGCAGTGAACTGTACCTATATATTAATAAATGTGACTTTTTGTTGAGGTATATAAACTAGAAATTTCTATAGCTACAAAGTAACAGAAAACATGACTAGCCATAGCTAAAACAAATAGGAGTTATTTTAATTCCCTAACAAGAAGTCCAGAGGTAGAGAATTGCAAGGATTGACTTTATGACTCTTTGTTGGCTTTTTCCTCATGATCACAAAATGGCTGCCACAGCTCCAAACATCTTATCCTCACATCACTGTCCCTTGAAAGAATAAATAGACAGATGGAAAGGAGCTTTCCTTGGAAAATGAGCACCAAGAAGGTCTCACCAAACAGAATTCCCCTCAGTTCTCATCCCTTGGAATTGGTAATGGGGTCAGCTATAGGAAAAACTTATAGAGCAACATCCATGGAAGGTAAAGGTGATGGCCATGATTGGTTTTGACTGAAGGCTTTCTATAATAAGTGAACATCAGAATCACCTGAGAGGTATTTAAACTATGTGTATACACACACACACACACACACACACACACTTACCTGACTAGCCCCAGAGGGATTTAAACTGTGTGTACACACGCACACACACACACATACATACCTGTCTAGCCCCACCTCAGACCAACCAAATAAGAATCATTTGTAGAGGGACCAGCAGTTAACGCAATGGCTATGTCGCTGGACTCCCATGTAACCAACCATGGTTCAAGTCCCGGACCCGGTGGCTTAAACTCACACGGGGTGCATGTACATGCATGCCCAAGTTCCCAAAAGGAGAAGGGATTGTGGCATAGCCATCCTCCCTGGGGGGGGGGGGGGGTTTTT